GTGGCGTTCATGTTTGATGAAATTCGATATGAACTCAACGAGTTCATGACTGTGGAGATTGATCGCAACCGAAACGTGGGCATAACTAGCATGCTCAAGAATTACGTGTCAATGATGTACGATAAAGCTTTGATTGCGCTGAACGCTGGATGGAACTCTAGATCCGACACGGAGGAAGGACACTTTAATTTTTGCGTGCCGCTCAGCATGCTGTTGGGTTTTTGCGAAGATTACAAATGCCTGATTGTCAACGCTCGCCATGAATTAATTTTGATACGAGCGCGCAACGACAACAATTGTTTGGTGGGAAATCTTGTGACGGAGTCTGAGGTTGAATTATTTAAAGTACAGTGGTGGATGCCTCACGTTACGTTAAGCGAGGTCAATAAATTATCAATGCTGCGAGTATTGGAAAGCGGTCATTATCTGAGCATGAGTTTTCGCTCGTGGGATCGGTACGAGTATCTTCTGTTACAGAATACGACCAAGCATTCATGGACCGTCAAAACGGCGACTCAGCTTGAGAAGCCTCGATACGTTATCTTTGCTCTGCAGACCGGTCGAAAGAATATCATGTCACGAGATGTTAGCGTGTTCGACGATTGTAATTTGAGTAACGTGAAATTTATCTAAATTCGGCGTTTTATCCGTACGACGATTTAAATCTGGATTTTGGCAAAAAGAGATACACTGTTCTATATGATATGTGCGCACGTTTTCGTAGAGCATATTATGGAATCGATTGTTTCGAAACGCTACTTCCGAAACGTGCTTTCATTTGTCGAGAAAGAGCCTTTTGTGGTCATTGATTGCTCGCGACAAAACGAATCCGTCAAGAGTGCCACTGTGGACGTACGCATAGAATTTGACTGCAAGGAGAATGTGCCCGTAAATACAACAGCTTATTATATGTCTCATCATACACGATCGTGCAGTTCAGTATAATCCATTGACCAACGTAGTGCGCAAAATCACCTAAATGCATCTCTGACACAATATAAAATCTACGTTACATCGCAATCGACGTCGCAGTCTTCTCGACAACATGTCCATGCCAACGTTCGTGGATCTGCAAGGATTCATCGTTAACAAGAAATTTATCGTGTAGTGGCGGTGCTGAAACAGCCATCCATGATTGCGTTTCAAGATTGAAAAGGACTTTATTGCGTGGCTTATAGAATTGTCTATGTACGTATGTATATAAATTCAAACCGAAATATTTAGGAAATAAGATCAGCTTTGATCGAATATAGGATTTTTTTTACTTAATTGATGAAATAAAAATTTATTGATGCTGTCGTGTATGTCAAGGGACGCGAGAAACGAACGTGGCTGTGGAACTTGCTTCTGGACGATGAGCGAGAACGCATGTACATCGAGACCTTAGATGCAGTTTACGAAGATACGGAATCTTTATCTAATCTAGATGTTACTATTATACGATGTGGATAACATGTTAAAAATTACGCGTTACAAAATGTATTGAAAATATATAACTAGTTGCAAAAGAATTTTTTAAATAAAAGTACGTTAACGTATTTATTATGTATTTCTTTTCCCTTCCTTTGTAACATAAATGTTTGTATGAACGTACGTATGTACGTATAAACTTATGAATGAACGTATGTATAAACGTATGAACATATAAACATATGTATGTACATATAAACGTATGTATAAACGTATGAATGAACGTACGTATGTATAAACGTATGTATGTATAAACGTATGTACATATAAACGTATGTACGTATGTATAAACGTATGCATGTATAAACGTATATACGTATGTATAAACGTATGTATAAATTCGTGATAAAGAAAATACGTAGAAAGACTTGATAAAACGTGTCGCGACATATTCGAAATTCTTGGAAAGAGGAGGAGGACCTGCCTTCTCTCATCGATTCCAGAAGTATTACGTCACAATTTATGCGGATGCAATCAGTCTTGCGATCGTACCCGCTTGTACGAACGGCTGAAAAAATGTACTTCGCTAAAGAGAGCAGTGCATCGTACGATGTGAAGAAGGAATATAACATGTAAGTTTCAACGTTCTATACACAAAAGTAACGTTTTTTAACATTATGTATGTATACAGTACGGAGCATCGTGCGGTGCGTTTACTGAGCAGATATTACGATCCGACGTATATGGGCTACAAATTTTTGGAAATTTTTGGAATCAACCCACCGAGTAGAGGTCGCCCTTGGAGATCATCGCGGACACGAACTATCGCTGTCTCTCGAAACGTGGAAGAGCCTCTACGAGCAGCGAGGAAATATTTACAAGCTGTTTCGAAACGAATACAAGGATAATTTTATAAGCGTTGGACCGCTAACCGTCAGTGTTTGCATGCTGAATGATGCTACGCTCGTATGTCTCGATTCTTCATCCGAACGCATTACGATGATCGAAACGACGCTACGCCGTATGTTTGACTTTAACGGGTGTATCGATGTAATGTTCGAATGATTAGCTCGACTCGTTGATACGGTAGATACCAAGTATACGCGATTCTCCAACATCGCATCTGAGAACATTATACGTGATAGCGACATCTTCAATGGACATCAGCTCGTTGATTGCGAACTATTAGCTTTAGTTTTTAATAAGTACGAAAACCAGTGTAATAAGATGTGAATAAAAAATTTTTGTTCGCATTATTATGTATATATTTTCTTTTTACTTCCCATCCTTCGCACTCGACGGTACTGTCATGACCATATTAAGCGTTCTCTTTTTAAATAAAAACGTATGATAAAATATGTTTGCGTGCAAGAATAATATAACGAGAGTGACACGCGGCGGCGGCGGAAAAGATGAAACATAAGAGAAAGAGAGATGGTAATATGCGGTAAGTGTATGCAAGCCTTTATTGCCGATGTATTTTTGGAGAGAGCGGCGGGTGACGACAAAAATAAGTATCGGGATCCTATGTTTACGTAACATCAATAGCACTGGAACCTTTTCCCCCTCCTTCCCCGCGTTACGAGTATCCCCACGCCTACGAGTATTTCCCGCGCCCCGCGCTCCCCTCTAGCCCCATGGGTTAGAACCCGCCTAGTATTACTACTTTTTCATTCAGTAAAAATGTCGAATTGATAACTCATTGTCCGTATTCACCTGATTTATCACCTAATGACTTCTTTTTGTTCCCACACATTAAAAAGAAGATGCGTGGTGAGCGATTTGAGTCGCCTGAAGCAGCTGTTGAAACATTTCGTACACTGATTTCTAAGGTTACAGCCTCAGAATAGAAAAAATACTTCGAAAATTGTTCGAGTGTATGCAAAAATGTATCGATCTTAAAGGCGAATACTTCGAAAAACAATAAAGCCATTTACCGAATTTTACATGTTTTTTTTTATATTGTTTGCAGAAACTTTTCCAACAGCCTACGTATTAGACAGTAACTGACTGGATGTTTAGTTGAACTGCACAAATTTCTATCAAGACCATATTGAATAGATGTATCATAACTATACATCCATGATTATATAGGTGTTCGTGGATCATCAAAGTACAGTGGTTTTCATACGATTTTAGAAATCAAGGATAGTGGATGGCGATGTGCAACCGGATGGGTGATCGTTTCGAAGCACTATAAAATTAATTCCCGAATTTAGGGAAAAATTTTTTTTTATCATAATTTTATTATGTGTATTCCGAAATAGAATATTAATCAATAATAATACTCATTTAAGAATCATTTTGTCTTGATTGTGGTCTAAAATTTGTTTAATATATTAATTTAGTCCATTGGGACTAAATTAATATATTAAACAAATGGACGTTTTTAAAAAATAAAATAGTAACACTGGATGTCTTTAAACTCTTTTACGGTTTTAAAATATGGATCTATGAATCTAATCTGGATGTTTTCAATATGTCCAAAATGTCCATATGTACGTTTTAAATATATTTTTAAAACATTACTGTGCTCTGAGTCGCACTTCCTCGCAATAGCTCTCTATAGTAGCGATGCTCAAAAGTCCTCTTGGTAATCGTCGACAACGACTTCACACGTCCTCTTACAATGTCTCAGCTCAGTCGCCGAACGACTGAGGCTCGGGAGTTTCTTGCGGATCCACGCAAGCTGTTCATCCCTCCCCCTCCCTCCCTCAGGGGGTCGTTATGCTGATTGGCTCCTGCCACGTTGCCGTTGCGTGCCGCATAGGTCCTCGCGGTTGCGAATCCTTGCGCTTTAGAGCACATAATATGATTTTTCAAGAGCTCCATTTTCGCTTATGGCCTCTAATTTTCTCGGGTGAAATGTCTTAGCAGCTCCTCCACTGGCTCCGGTCGGAAACATATGCCTCCGACTGACATTTGTGTGGTCCTCAGGTGGCTGGCAGTTCTCTCTTTTTGTCGCACTCTGTAAGGGATGTGCGATACTAATAAGGTTAGAGAGCTTCACAGGGAGAGAGTGGCAAATTGCATGACATGACCTGGCTTTCTCTGATTGGACCTGGTAATCAAGCTCCGTAGAGCCATGGCGGGGGCACAGTATATACAGCACAACTCTCTGTTGGCACCTTTGATGTTAGTGTTTCCTAAAATGGAGTGCGCACGCGTGAAATAAGTAAGTTCCCTAGTAGCGCCATCTGAATTTCTTTCTCAGTTGCTCTTTATTTTTCCGCTCTCTCTCTCTCCCCCCTCCCTCCCCCCCTCTCTCTAGATCGTTTGTACATCAAAATATATATATATAATCTAAATGTAATAAAACTAAAAGAAATAGATCTATAATTGTATTGTAATAAAAAAATATAAAATTATATAAATGTTATATGATACAAACATTATACTAAAAAATAATTCATGGCTGCAGCATACGATGCTTGTTTTCCTGCTAGATCGCTTGCGTTTTAGTAAATTATTAGAATTGCACATAGCAGATTTTTAGCTAAAATGAAAGCAATTATATATGTATATCATAGTATTTGAGCCACACTGACTTGGTGTGTGTAATTGGTTGCAGGTATGTGCGTGCGTGCGTGCGTGCGTGCGTGCGTGCGAGATTTTCTTTTCTTCTATCTCTTTCTCTGATCCGTATTTCAGCTACTCGAACATTTAAATAGCCATTAACATTTAAATGAAAAAAAGAACGCATAAAGAAGTGAGATGCGTTACTACAACTTATTTATTTCGAGCATGCACACTTCATTTTGGACAACATAAAATCAGAAGAGTTGCGCTACTGTATATACTGTGGCGGGGGTATGCTGTTTAGGTTAGATGTCTGCAAAAGCAGTATGCTTGTCACTTTGTGCTGCAATTTTCTCCTCAATTTTACAATTAATAAGATCTTTGTAAGTGATATATATTATTAATCTTGGAAATACATACCTTCCTCTATTATACATATATACATGAAATACGAGGGCAAGTCAATAAGTTCTTAAGAAATTTGTCAGAGGGCACTCGCAGTGTCATGTCACATTACTTTTTAACAAGTAACATCTTTCAGCTGATTACTGTCAAATTTTGAGCGGAATTCGTCGCGTGGTTTTATTTTTGTTGACGATTAAAGCGAACAACCTTTGTATTTTTTGCAAAATGGAAAAAAACGAGTTTCGTGCAGTGATCAAAGATCTACATATGAAAGGTTTAACGCTGAAAGAAATCAAAGCCGAGTTGGATAATGTTCATAGCACATTTGCACCAGCGTTTGCGACTGTATACAATTGGGTGAATGAATTTAAATGTGGTCGTACATCCACATGTGATGCACATCGTTCGGGACGTCTAATTGAGGCTGTTATGCCAGAAATCATCGATAAAGTCCACGATATTGTTTTGACTGATCGACGAGTGAAAGTGCGCAAGTTTGTTGAGGCCACAGGCATATCACATGGCAGAGTGATTTCAATTTTGTACGAACAATTGAGTATATGAAAAGCTATCGGCAAGATGGGTGCCGCGTTTGCTCACTGTGGACCATAAGCGCGATCGTGTGACGATTTCAAAACAATGTTTGGAGATGTTTCAACGTAATCCAGATAAATTTCTGCGTCGATTCATTACTGTGGACGAAACATGGATCCATTACTTCACACCCGAGATGAAAGAACAGTCAAAACAATGGACTTCACCGAGTGAACCAGCTCCGAAGAAGGCGAAGACAGTGAAGTCGGCCGGAAAGTGATGGCCACAGTTTTTTGGGATGTACGCGGTATAATTCATATCGATTACCTTCCATCGAAGCACACGATCAATGACGATTACTACGTAGGATCGTTATTAGACCCTTATTGGACCGTTTCAACAACATTTTGAAGAAAAAACGTCCCCATTTGGCGAAGAAAAAAGTGCTTTTCCATCAAGACAATGTACAGGTTCACATGGTGCCTGGCACCGATGGTCAAATTCAACGAATTCCGCTATGAATTGCTTCCTTATCCAGCATATTCGCCAGATTTAGCCCCCTGCGATTATTATCTGTTTCCAAACCTGAAGAAATGGTTCGGAGGAAAGAGATTCACCTCCTCAGAAAGCAGCTCATCACCGAAACAGAGGCTTATTTTAAAGGGTTGGACAAATCATATTATTCGGACTGTTTGAAAAAGTTGGAGAATCGTTGGATCAAGTGTATCGAGCTGACAGGAGACTATGTTGAGAAATAAAAATGAATCGATCAAAAAAAATATGTTTTACTATGTTTTTCTAAAAACTTATTGACTTGCCCTCATAAAACTATGAATTCTTACATTTCAGATATCTGAACTGGATTTGTGCATATTGTAAAATGCCTACCAGGTACAGTGCTCCAAGATGCATAAATTCTAAAGAAGAATATTGCTACACTACATTTGCAAGACCAGATCCAAACTCGAGACAAAAATGGATTGATGCTGCCGAATTCCTGATTGGAAATTCCTATTTCAATTTTTTCTTCTTTCTAATTTGACAAATTCATCACATTTGTATAACAAACTTGGTATAACCTTTTCTCATAATTTTTTTGCTACTAACATACAATAGAATAATTCTGATGAATGGAAATGAACCTAAAAAATAAGAGGTACACGTTAGAAATAAATATCGGTTCCACCAACTATCATTAATGTAACATCAATATGTTAGAATTTTTCACGTAATTACATAATCATTATATACACTCGTATTATATTAAATTTAATATATTGATATTGAGTAAGAAATTATAATATTTATTATATATTATTTTTGTTGATGATTACGCGAATTACATTATAAAACATTTGTATGCACGCTTCGGTACCAATCTCACATAATATTATAAAACTGATTTTGAAGGTTTCCAATCAGAAATTCGACAGCATCAATCCATTTCTGTTTCAAGTTTGGATCTTGGGCAAATCTTGTGTAGCATTATCTTTTATTAGAGTTTGTACATTTTGGAGTACTGCACTTGGCAGTCATTTTATAATATGCACAAATCCTGATCAGATGATCCTGATCATCTGAAATGTAAAAATTCGTAATTTTATTTCATGTATATATGTACAGTAGAAGAAGATATATATTTCCAAGATTAATAATATGTATTACTTACAAAGACTTTATCTAATAATTGTAAAATTG